ATTTTCAACCCACGCAATCGTAGAAAAATGCGAGTGCCAAGATTTTATCCTTTGCTTGCTCTCCAAAGGCATCCAAAGTTGAAAAAATCACATTTTGCGTGATAACTCAATGAAATCAGTGAAATTACTCAACTTTCACAACAAGAGTTTTTTACCTTTTCCAAAATAAAACCAACTATGCATTGAAACTTTTCATTTATGTTAGTTTTCAATTATTTTCTTATTATTTTTTTAATGCACTACTATAAATGATAAAACTACTTATAAATGAAACCCTGTATGAAGAACACTTTCCAAAAGGAGCTGGTGTTTTTTTTTTCTTGACAAGCCATTGACAAGATCTGTGGGCAAGATATGTTTATTTGTCATTGTTTGACATCTCGGGAATTTGTAAATACAAAGTTTGAATACAGGGGTTTATTTATAAGTAGTTTTATCAGTTATAGTAATGCATAGTAAAAATATTGGAAAAATAATTAAAAACTAGCATGAATAAAAAGTTTTAGTGCATAGTTGGTTTTATTTTGAAAAAGGTAAAAAACATTTGTTATGAAAGTCAGGTGATTTCACTGATTTCATTGAGTTATCACGTAAAATGTGATTTTTTCAGCTTTGGAGGACAAGCATAGGATAATAACTTGGCATTCGCATTTTTCTACGATTGTGTTGGTTGAAAATAACAATTTTAAGACCGCTCCGTCACTTCCTGTTCAAAAATAAATTTTCATCCAGAGTTGTGAAATTTCTTCAAAAATGTTCAAATTTGACGTTTTCGTACACATCATGATCCGCAGATAACAAAAATGCGAAAAAATTATTGGGATGCCATTCAAAATTACGGAGTTAGGACCATTTCCGGTCAAACCGGAAGTTACCAAACATTGACACACACGTCAAAAGATGACATTTCTCAAACCTACACTCCATACCAAAAATCTTTGCCATCGAAATAAAAACCAGCAAATGCCAGCGCGAAACTGATCTCGTAGACACCCGGTATGTGTCTATAGGAGATAGGAGCACTAAAACTTGTTATTGCCATGCCAACTTTACATGTTTGTAACATTTTATTAAATTTACCATGAAGTTATTTTGAATTTTAATGATATAGATAACAGAAAACAGATACTAATTTAAATAATTAAAAATATAAATAATTATCCAAATTTTGATATACCTATATCCGATATCGATATATGTATATCCGATATATATCGATATATATATATCGGATAATTGGATATTTATATAAATATCATGCTATTTGCCAACCCTGCCTATGTCAGGTTTATCTTGCAGAATCCAATTCTCTTTTATTGGGTTGCGGCATTGTTTTTTGGTAACAACTTGTATTTTATCTGATATATTGTATCCTAATTTCTCTACGATTTCGAAATTCAGTCTTTCTAGCTCAGCTAGAAACTCTTTTTCTGAGAAACCTTTTTCAATCCTCATAAACATAGGGTCATTATTTCGAATTTCTTTAATGTTTATGTTTTGACGATGTTCAATGGCTGCTTTTAATTTATTTTGTTGATGTCTGTTAAAACTTTCTGCAATGATAGTCCCCTTTTTCGTTTGTCTGATATTTTTGAATCCTCTTCCTACCTCTTTTGGATCCAGTTCACTCTTGAATTTTTTCAGAGCCTTTTTTGCATCACTGATTTCCGGCATTCGTATCATGGTCTCGTGTTTTTTTACTGTGACTGGACTAGTCCATGGTTGAGGTTATTTTACAGAGAAGTTAATACTAGAGGCACTACTAAGTCTAATGTGACGTTAAAGGATATCCCTTGATGTTCATGTTGATGTCCAGTAAAAATTAACTATCAATAGATCTTTTGTGAAAAATATTGAAAAATGCAAACAGTAGACCAAAAAGTCATTTGTCCGAGTTTTCCCAAATAAAGACAGTTTTTCGCCACAGATTCTCATTAGGTATTGCATACTATAAAAAGCCAGTAAGCGATACAAAACGAGAAGCTAAAAGTTTCTTGTCGACATTCTTCGTCAAGTATTTTTAATTTTTATAGCCCATAAAATGTTCACATACAAAATGCATCAACTATTATATAATACCATGGCGAGCGACTGACCCACAACCGCAATTACATAATTTCATCATCATCATGCGAGATCGACAAAGATCACTTTCTCTTTGTAACAATAATTCTTATTTAAGAGAAAGTATTACCTAACAATCGTAAATGTGTATTAGGTAACAATTTGAAAAACCATCTCTCGAGATAAAATGGAAATGAGGCAAATTTTAGGCAGTAGGTCAATACACAATGATTTTTTATTTTATGATCTATGGGGACTGGATTTGTCTAGGAGTATGTACAGTTTTTGTAACTTTTAAGGCAATAGTTCAAAGAAACAATAATCATGGATAATAAAATTCTCACAAAAATCCAAAAATAGATGACAAACTCATAAACTAAATTTAGAATTTATTGTGTGCAGCCTTGGTGCATTTGTCACAAGCTTGAGGCTTTTGAGTACTAAAATGCCGGATTTGAAGTGGTTATTTTAATATTGAAATAACATTAAAAAATATTCTTAAAAAATGTGGTTCCATGAACACCTACCTATTGGCAATGGCATTTAATTTGGCGATATTTGCATTCTTTGCGACCAAGGCTGATAAGTTGAAATTTTGAAGTGGAATTGTTTTGTTTCCTGTGACCAGAAAACGTAAAGTAATTGTTTTTTTCACTTGAAGTCAATTTGAAGAATTTAGTTTATTTGCCAAATTACACTTATATTTATTTATTAAAAGGATATAAAAAATGGAAAATCTGTAACTTGCTGCAAAATTCATCTGGTTTTCAATTAAAATTAAATTTACTGTATTAGAATCTTTAGCAATTCACCATATTAGTTAGGTTAGGAAAAATCGGGAATCGCGAAATTTAAAATGGGTTCCTAAACACATTTCAACAAATTTGACAGCAATGTATTTCTTATGGGGGATTCAAAAGAGTGATTTTCAGACGGGAATATCTTGGGTTCTGGGCATTTCTTAGTATTTGAACCTATTATACGTCAAACTTTGAACATATTTCTCTATAATTCATGCTCTAATTGTTTTCTTAGACCTATGAATTAAAAATAGAAATGATTTTAATTAAAAGTGTCTGTTTTCGGTGGACGTACGTCGGGTCTAAAACCAGCTGTAAGAAAGTGAGGTTGTGTGTTGTGTTATGATTGTGGGTGAATTGTTTATTTATTTATTTATCACTAGTTCAGTAATTTGTTTTTCCATTTTTTTGCATTATTGAAGTACATCTACTAACCCAAGTATGTAGGTACACTTTTATTTTATTATAATTATAGGTACCCATATATACTTGTGGATCAAGCAACGACGTACGTATTTTATACAAACATCGGCTTCTTAAATTGGTAATATTTTTATTTTAACAATGTTTATTCAACTTTCAAGCACTCTCTCAGTTAATTAACATATTAAAAAAACTATTTATACAACTCACTTCCCTAACAAACGTTCTATCACGTCTACAGACGCTTTTAAAATTGAGTTCCCATAAGACATCAATGTATTAATTTTTAAACTAGGAACCCGCGCCAATTTGCGATTCGAACCTAACTAATATGATCAATTGTGAGATGGCCGAATACCATCACAACAGTATTGTAATTTCATAGCGAAGCACATCCATTTGAGACAATACTTGTAGCTTTCATAATATCTCATGAAGGTTGTTCATCCAATGATTAATGAATATAGCAGAAAATCTTTTCCTATTTTAAAAACGAAATGAAATTTGTGTTTTGGCTGGCATGTCCACATCTAAGTTGAGGGATTCTCGAATAGACCGTTTAAAACATACTTTTTTTAAAAAATTTCACAATAGAACGTAACCATGTTGTGCAATCTGGATTTGAACGATCCGATAACGCAAAATACATTCCAACTATGGTATAATAATAAACGAATTCTATTACAGACGAGATTGATATTGACTGCTTAAACCAATGCCGTCGAACAAGTGATATAAATATTAAATCGATTCCAAAATTAGGAGATAGATGGGATTGAATTAAAAAGACAAAAGCCGAAATACATACAAAGAAAAAGGGGAAAATGTAAATTTGCGCTACTTATCTCTTTTCTACATTTCATAATTATTAAAAAACAGTGTGATTTAAAATGTATGTATTAAATTTCTCCTGCTCTGACAAGATTGATTAAAAAGTCTATCCAAAGTCAAAATCTTGATAAACCCATTAGTAAATAATTACTGTTCGTGTAGTAAAAATTGAAAGTGAATTATATTACTATGACCAGAAAAAGATATCTGTTTCCCTTTAACCAAAAAAATTAATTGCACAAAACTTTCGTTGCCCCTTGCATGTTTTAAAACCATTACCAGTGTTTGTATACAAAAAGAATTACAGATTCTTGCGGTGAAGCAACTTTAGATTGAAAAAAATTATATGGTCATTAGAACCATACAAGTTTTATCTTTAGAAATTGAAAGTGATTAGGTAAGACCTTGCTATTTTTTTTTGCGATAAGCAACTGCCTATTGAAGGAATTAAATGATATTGTTTTTGACAATAAAAAGATATAGGTACATATTTTATATTTTAAATCCAACATAATGCCAAACAAATTCTAGCTTCAATTTTGACCATGATATTTTTTAGAAGGGTAATAGTTTTAATAAATTGAATGCTATAACTAACCTATCTACCACACATTTAAGGTCGCATCACAATGTATGTGCAATGGCCTTTAGTTGAGTTCTGCATTTAAATTATAATGAAAATTATAAGCATCAATGAACAAATAATATACAATAGTTGTTTACCAATAGGAATTAATTTCCGATATGCGGTCTGTTTATACTGTATATTGTTTATGCTTTTCATTAAGGAGAAAATATTCTATAATTCATATGTAATATTATTTACAGTGTCACATCACAGACGATAAAAATAACTGAAAAATTGAATAATATTATTTTCAGTTGTTCACAATGAAAAAATGTACATATTTGGTGGTTACAATGCTGTGCGTGGTAAGCACTACAATGATCTGTACATGTTCGATCCAGAAACGTTTGTTTGGACCAAGGTGAATCCGAAAGGCAGATGGCCTTGTAAAAGAAGGCGGCAGGGATGTGCAAAAGTTGGAGATCGGGTCTACATTTTTGGAGGGACAAGGTAAGAATAGTTCAATAATGATTGGTAATAAGTATTTAAGTTAAAAGTATGGGACGACAATAAAATCCGTTTGGCGTTCGCTCTCTCTATTCGAAACTATAGAAGTTCAGGTCGAAAGCCAAAAAACGTGTTATGCTATATTTCAGACTGTGGACATACAAGAGATATTGGATATGTATGTTTTCTTGTTGTATAATTTCGTCTCTATCATGTTCTCCCATTTTTGGGTGTTAAGTTTTTGTCTAGTTATCTTTTTATCTGTATTTAGTGCTGCATATTTTTCAGGCTCTATGTACATAATCTTGTGATCTGATATTATGTGATCCTACTGTTCCTTTAATTCAATATTGCACCTCAGATTTTTGATTGTATACAGTGTGTCCAAGATAAGAAAAAGATAGCATCAGGATCTGAAGAACGGTTGGAGTTACAATGTTGGTTAGATTAGAAAAAAGTTGCTCAATTTAACGCTGAATAAAATGGAACCTTGACATTTGAAAAATTCCGAACATTTTCCGAGATATCCGGAAAAACCAAAATTTCGCAAAATCAATTTTATTTTTTATTGAGCTTATTTCAGGAGATATTTCAAAATAAATGTAACTTCATCGTTACCACTTTTCCTAATCTACAATAGAGGTACCTAAACAGGGCCGACTTAAGGGGGGGGGCGAGATGGGCGGCCGCCCAGGGCGGCACGATCCAGGGGCGGCAAATTCATACCATACATCGACAAAAAAAATTAATAGAAAATTAACCCAACGACTTAAAAAAAATTAAGAAATATAAATCGAACAGCGAACCGATTATACAGGGTTTTTGGTTGATACATCTATAGAAGATTTCAAGAAGATTTCAATGAGTGATAGTTGGGGTCATTTATTTGTAAGCTGTTTGACCATATTTACCCTCATGCAAAGTTTCGCCGTTTTTTGAGATATCGCCATTTTAGATAATTTGAATCCATGTATTTTAACACATAACTTGGGCTACATATTTTTTGTATCAATCATTCGGATTTTCTTTCCGAGTGCATATCAAGAATTCGGAAAAAAAATTGAGAAAGGTTAAAATGGTTATTCCAAAAAAAAAATACAATATGTTTTAGGAATAATTCAAATATTTCCCAAAATTATCTAAAAATGCTGATATCTCAAAAACGACAAAATTTTGCATAAGGGTAAATATGATCAAACAGCTTCCAAATGACCCCAACTAGTGATAGGAAGTTTTCAATATGTAATCATTAATAACTTCCTATCGATGTACCAAACACTCTGTATTATAGAATAGGTGCATTTCAGCTTCTTATATGATATCCATTTACTACAAAAAACTTCATCTAGAAGAGTTATCGGAATATTGCAAAAATTTATAATATGTATGTTCTCATGTATGACAATTCTTTTGATGTCAATGTGGCATAATTAGCTGATGAACTATCTGTGATAGACGTTACTGGAGCCCAATCAAAATCCGTTTGATGTGTTAAAATTAGCACTCCAACTGGATATTGCACCGAATGTTGTTGTGGCCCTCAGATTCTCAGAATTTTATTATCATTGAACATAACTCTTGCAAGTGTTAAGAAAAGTTTCTCTAAATTAAAATTAATTAAAACGTATTCAAGATCATCTCGGCCAAGAAAAGGTAAGCAGTGAGCATGTTAGCAATGATTACTAATGAGCATGAAATCGATGATAAATTAAAAATTAATCATCTACTTGAAGATTTTGCTGCATTCAACGCTTGAAAATTATCTTAAATAATATACCAATAATTTTATGGAAAATGTACCTACTTACCCTAATGACACAAAAGGTACGATGGACGGTTTTTTTTAAAGTCCGTTTAATGTCGAAACATCCGAGGACTAAAATAGAACGTTGTATAAACGTTTGCACAAAATCATTTTTAAAAACGACGAAAAAAGACGTTCGAAATATATTCACAAAACGTCCATAAGCATAAAGTTTTGGAAGAAAAGTTTTGGAAACTACTGTTTCTGCACGTGGTAATGTCCATGTTCGAGTGTTTTTTAAAAGGTAAAGAAAGGATGTTCTTTAGACGTTTGATTAAGTTGTTTTCAAAACCTCTGTCAGGAATAATTAAAGAACATCAGAATGTTTTCTATGAGTTCGTAATAGCTATTTGCCTAACAAGTGCGGAAAATTAATTTTTCCGCACGCAGCTGCCGTTCACCGAACGACGCGTAGCAGAGTTCGGTGATGCAGCCGAGTGCGGAAAAATATTTTCCGCAAGTGTTAGGTACAATATTTTTCCTACAGGCGAAAAAAAAAATGTAAATTTTTTCTTTTTTTTTTTGACATATCAGTGCGGTAAAATTTTTTCCGCACTGACAGCCGTGCGGAAAAACTTTTTCCGCACTAATATGTCAAAAAAAAAGTTTTACCGCACCGTGCGGGAAAACTCATTTTCCGCACGCATATCAGTGCGGAAAATCGATTTTGCCGCACGGCTGTAGGAAAAAGTATATTTTCATGAAAAGTAATGAGAGACGTTTTATAAAGATTTTAATTAGGTAACGGCCCAATTAAGGACCGATTGAGAAGTGTTTTATCTCTGCAGGACCATCCGTGGACGCGTTTCGCTGTATCACAGCTCATCAGCACGGTTAGGTCCCGCAGAGAGAAAACACAACCCATTTTTGGTTCCATCCCGGAACTGGGTTTGATACAATGGAGACTCTGTCTTCATCTCACTTGTTTTATAAAGGTTTCTGTTGATCGTTTTCGGGAACACCGTTGGAAACATGTATCCCACGTCCACACGTCCGGAAATTAGTTCGAATAAGACGTTTTTAAAAGGTTGTTTGTAACTGTGATATTTGCATTACCTATAAAATAAGTCTATTGGATGGTGTTGGATACTTTGAAGGAAGTCCAGTGAATGTTTATATAGAGATCTTTGAAAAACGTCCTGTTTCGTTTTTAAGCGTTCGTATTAAAGCATTTTTGAAACGCTCATTTTCGACGTCTATATGACGTTTGAAGTGACCTTTGCACCAAATAAAAATGCACGTTTGGATATTCTCAGTTACTTTCACTGACGTTTTTAAAACTTTCTGACGTCCGATAGGATAATTTTTTGAAACGCTTCTGTGCTATTAGGGTATATCTACATAATGTATCTGTTGATTGTCGCCAAGAGCTTGGATTGGCTGACTCTTACTTTGTTTGTTATGTTTCTTGTTTTCTTATGTTAGTTTTTTTTTTTGTGATTACCTAAGTTACATAATATAGTACCTATGTGGTTTTATTGCTATGATGCTATGCCTTACTATTTCGTGTTTGTTTCTACAATTCAAGATCTCTCACATTTTCTCTAAGCAGGCCATGGGATGGGGCGGCAAATTAACTCATTGCCCAGGGCGGCAAAATACCTAGAGCCGGCCCTGTACCTAAATGCGATACGTCATAGGTTCTGGGACATCAAGAGCTCTTAAAATCTGGAATAGAAAATCAAGGGCCATATTTAAAAACATGAAGTTGATGATGGTGGTCATCTTCTAGAGTAGAAAAGTTGTTACGAGGAAGTGACATTTATTTTGAAATATCAGAAAAAAAAAACGATTTTGCAAAATTTCGGTTTTTCCCGGATACATATCTCCGAAAGTGTTCTGAATTTTTCAAATGTCAAAGTACCATTTTGTTGAGCGTTTTGTAATCTAACCAACATTGTAACTCCAACCGTTCTCCAGATCCTGATGCTATCCCATCCTTGTCTTGGACTCACTGTACAGGGTGTTTTCTCATATTTTGACCCCTACCTACAGCTTTAGCTATACAAGGTGACAAGTTACTTCAAATATGAAAGTTGTACGGTTTTATTGGTAGTATATTTTGGCGCTTCTAAAACAAACAATTTCTAATCGCGAAATTATATTGAAAGACCAAATATTTTTTTTTAATGGAACATCCTGTATATTTTTAGCTCTAATGAGAGTCCTTTTTCTCCTGTTCAAAAATATACCATATGTTGGTTCAACTGTTTTTGTGCTATTTAAGTTCAAAATTGCATTAAGTAAGCTTTACCATCGATATAAGGAACCGGGAACAGACCTACTCTTTAGGGTACAGTCGCTGTCACAGATAATCGAGATTCCTACAAAAAATGATTTCTTTGTCGGCGATGCCAGGATAAACAAAAACCGCATCAAAAACTCTACAGTTAAGGGTTGAGAATAAATTTAGTCCAGGAGCATCAATTAAATTCATTTTCCGTATAGTATTATTGCATTTAATATTTGAAATATTTTTTAAGAAAATTGAAAAATAATTTTTAACATTATTTACAACTTAAACCGAATAATTTCAAACCAAGCGGTTCCTGACACGTGCTCCCTGACTAAATGCAGGCCCGCTGATAATATAAACATACTTTTTTGTAGGAATCTCAAATATCTCTGGCGGATACTAGATTGTAAATGCATTTTTAAACCTAAATAGAGTTAAAACAGCTGAACCAAATAACAACATACAAGATGATTGATGGTCGATGGTAAATTTGACTCTTATGGAAAACGGAATGTTGGATCTTTTAAAAATTTGCATGTCCAAGTAATTGCTCCCGATCATTATTCTAAAATAATTCCAACGATGCGACGTTGCCGCTTATACCAAAAAGTAATATAAAGTTAGATATTTTAAATGAAACACTTTGTATATTATTGCATTTTCCGCTCCACTATTACTTTCTGATTATTTTTGTATAATACTCTCCTATATCTATCTCTAGTGATTTCCGACCTATCAATTAATTTCTATATTTTTTCTTCAAAACATAACTCTAGTAAAATTTGTATTACTACACACTGAGATTCGTAGAGGAGATAACTTAGGGAGGTCCTGCATATTACTTTTGAGCAAGAAAATTTGTTCTACATGATACAGGGTTGGTCAAAATTAGTAATGGGCTCTTTCACTAAAATTTAAATACGTAATTTAAGTATAAAATCTCAAAGGAGGGACTATTTTAGG